CCAGGCACGGTGGCTTACACCTGTAGTCCCAGCACTTTGCGAGGCTGGGGTGGGTGGATCACCTACATTACCCTCTCTGCCCAGGGGCCCAAAAATCTGTCAACATGCCCAGTCCATTAATGTCTCTACTGGCATCAGAGCAAGCCACCTGGATACCCAATAGTCAGCCTCCCTGGACCCATTAACACTAATGCTAGTATGAGCTGCCCTGGGAACCAAGGACAACATGCTCAGGCCCCTGCTGCCACAACTGGGGCCCAAAAGCTAGCCCACCTTGCACCCTAGACCCCAGCAAAAACTTCACCTCAGCCTCCACTAATAAATAACTGCACCCTATGCCACTGAGGAAATTACAGATACCACTGATGGTATTCACAACTGAAAAAACCATAGAGAGATTATACTAGTACACTCACCCAAAATCAAAGCCAAAGTGCTCTGCCTGCCAAGAACACATGTACATATTCAGGAATAAGTCTTCCTCTATGAAAGCAAATTCAAAAAAATTGGAATAAACAACTGTTACACCAGATGCACAGATGTCAATGTAAAGACACAGGAAACATGAAAAAGTAAAGGAATCTAAATGTTTTCTTGGAATGTCTGTTTTTACATTAAAAAAAAAAAAAAGATAAAGTAAAGGACTCTGACACCTCCAAAGGAACACAAAATCTCCAACAATAGATCCCAATCAAAAACAATTCATGAAATCCCAGATAAAGAATTCAAAATACAGATTTTAAAGGTGCTCAGTGAGATATAAGATAATTCTGAAAAACAATACACAGAAATCAAAAAAACAATTCAGGATATGAATGAGAACTTTACCAAAGAGATGGAGTTGTTTTTTTTTTAATTCTGGAACTGAATAATTCATTGAATTAAATACAAGATACATTTGAAAGCTTCAATAGTCTAGATCAAACAGAAGAAAGAATCTCAGAACTAGAAGACAAGTCTTTTGAACTAATCCAGTCAGATAAAAATAAACAAGAATTAGAAAGAATGAGAATGAGCGAAGCTTTTGTGACATTTGGGACAACATAAAGTGAATAAATATTCAAATGATCACTGTCTCTGAGAGTGAAAACAAAGGTTAGAAAACCTATTTAACAAAATATTAGTTGAAAACTTCCCAAGTCTAACAATAGACCTAGATATCCAGATAGAGGAGGCTCAAAGATTCCCTAACAAATATAATAGAAAAAGATCTTCTCCATGGCATATTATAATCAAATTGTCTAAAGTCAAAGCAAAGCACAGGATACTAAAAACAGCAAGAGAAAATCATCTAGTCAACTTTGAAGAACCTCACATCAAAACCTTACAGACCAGGAAAGAATGGGATAACATATTCAAAGTGCTGGAAGAAAAAACCTTAAGAATACTATATTCAGCAAAATTCACAAATAAAAGAGAAACAGTCTTTCCCAGACAAGCAATTTCTGAGGGAACACACCACAAGACTAGCCCTACAAGAAATGCTCAAGGGAGTCCTGGACTTGAAGTGAAAGGACATAAAAACACACAGAAGTACAAAACTCAATGGTAAACCAAACATATAAATGAGGAAGAGAAAGGACTTACACGGTACCACTGCAGTAAACCACCAAACCACAATTACTATCAATAAAAGAGCAAAGACCATACGAAACAACCAGAAAACAATGAACAATGTGACAGTAACAAAACCTCACATATCACTAATAACCTTGAATGTGAATGAATTAAATTATCCACTTAAAAAATATAGACTGGATACAGACAAAATCTAACGGTATATCCAAAGATATACATAGACTCAAAATAAAGGGTTGGAAAAAAAAATGTACCAACCAAATGGAGAGCAAAAATAAATAAATAAAAAGCAGGAGTTGCAATTTTCACATTGGACAAAATAGATTTCAAAGCTACAAGGATACAAGGGTAAAAGGATTAATGTAAAATTAATTCGTCTTAATTAACACCCAGATACATAAGACCCATAATGAGATTTAGATTCAACGAGACAGAAAATTGATAATGATATCCGGGATTGGAACTAAGATCCAGAACAAATAAACTCAATAGAGCTCTCCATTTTAAACACACAAAATATACATTATCCACAAAATCTAACGATATATCTAAAGATACACAAAGACTCAAAACAAGGGGATGGAAAAAAACTTACCAACCAAATGGAGAGCAAAAATAAATAAATAAAAAGCAGGAGTTGCAATTCTCACACTTAATAAAATAGATTTCAAAACTACAAGGATGCAAGGGTAAAAGGATTAATGTAACAATAAGAGATCTTAACACCCAGATACATAAGACACATAATGAGATTTAGATTCAACGAGACAACAAATTGATAACGATATCCAGGACTTGAACTCAGAGCCAGAACAAATAAACACAATAGAGGTCTCCATTTTAAACACATAAAATATACATTAACCACTTTAAACACTCAAAATATTGATCGGCCATTATTGAAACCCATTTTAGGAATGAAGTAATATTCCTTTTTCCCTCTTTTTCTTTTTTTCCCCTTCTTTTTCTCTTTTTCCCCAAAAAAATAAATAAATAAAAATAAAAATACAAAAATTAGCTGGGCATGGTGGCGCATGCCTGTAATCCCAGCTACTCAGGAGGCTGAGGCAGGAGAATTGCCTGAACCCAGGAGGCGGAGGTTGCGGTGAGCCGAGATCATGCCATTGCACTCCAGCCTGGATAAAAAAAAAAATTATATATATATATAGACTGGCTTAATGGATAAAGAAACATAATCCAACCAAATAGTGCCTACAAGAAAGACACATCTACAGCTAAAGGAATGGGAAAAAGACATTCCATGCAAATGAAAACTGAAAGCAAGCAGCAGTAGCTATACTTACATCAAATAAAACAAACTTTAAGTAAAAAACAGTAACCGGGTGCAGTGGCCCATGCCTGCAATCCCAGCACTTTGGGAGGCTGAGGCGGGCATATGACGAGGTCAGGAGATTGAGACCATCCTGGCCAACATAGTGAAATCCTGTCTCTAGTAAAAATACAAAAATTAGCTGGGTGTGGTGGCACGTGCCTATAATCCCAGCTACTCAGGAGGCTGAGGCAGGAGAATCGCTTGAACCTGGGAGACGAAGGTTGTGGTGAGCCAAAATCGCACCACTCTACTCCAGCCTGGTGACAGAGGGAGACTCCATATAAATAAATAAATAAAGGGCCAAGCACTGTGGCTCATGCCTGTAATCCCAGCACTTTGGAAGGCCAAGGTGGGTAGAAAACTTGAGGGCAGGAGTTCAAGACCAGCCTGGCCAACATGGTGAAACCCTGTGTCTACTAAAAATACAAATAAAAAATTAGCCAGGCCTGGTGGCAGCCCCTTGCAATTCTAGATACTCAGGAGGCTGAGGCAGGAGAATCACTCCAACCCAGGAGGCAGAGGTTGCAGTGAGCCGAGACCGCACCACTGCACTCCAGCCTGGGCAACTGGGTTAGAAAACCTATTTAATAAAATATTAGTTGAAAACTTCCCAAGTCTAGCAAGAGACCTAGATATCCAGATAGAGGAGGCCCAAAGATCCCCTAACCTTTTTTTCTACTGCCTCTCAAAAAAAAAAAGAAAAGAAAAGAAAAAGAACTAAAGAAAACATGGAAAAAGGACAAAAATGATCACTATATAGTGACAAAACAATGAATCCAGCAAGAGGATATAACAATTCTAAATATATATGCACCCAACACTGGAGCATTCAGATTGATAAAAACAAGTACTACTAGACCTAAATAGAGAGATAAACTCCAACACAATAATAGTGGGGGAATTCTATTCCTCACTCTCAGCATTAGATCATTTGGATAGAAAATCAACAAAGAAATATTGGATTTAAACCGGACTCTAGTGCAAATGGACCTATTTATAGAAAAATTTATCCAACAACTACAGAATATGCATTTTTCTCATCAGTGCATAAAACAGTTTCCAGGATAGATCACATGTTAGGCCATAAAACAAATCTCAAAAAATATTTATAAATCAAAATCATAACAGATCATAATGGAATAAAACTAGATACTAATACCAAGAGGAACTTTAGAAACTGTACAATGCACATAGGTTTTGCAAGAAAAAAATAAAAAATAATAATACAAATACATGGAAATTAAACGACATACTCCTGAAAGACCATTAGGTCAATGAAGAAATTAAAGTGGAAGTCGAAAAGTTTCCTGAAACAAATGAAAATGGAAACTCAACATACAAAAACCTGTGTGATACACCAAAAGCAGTGCTAGGAAGGAAGTTTATAGCAGCTAATGCCTACATCAGAAAAAAAAAAAAAAGGAGAAAGATTTCAAATAAACAATCTAATGATGCTCCTCAAAGAACCAGAAAAACAAAAACAAACCAAACCTAAAATTAGCAGAAGAAAAGAAATAATATAGATCAGAGCAGAATTAAACAAGAGACTTAAAAAATACAAAATATTGACAAAACAAAAAGCTGCCTCCTTGAAAAGACAAACAAAATTGATAAAGTCCTAGCAAGACTAATCAAGAAAAGATGGTAGATGACTCAAACAAACAAAATAAAAAATGAAGGAGACATTGCAATTGATACCACAGAAATACAAGAGATCATTAGACACTATTATGAACAACCAAATGCTAACGAACTGGAAAATCTAGAGCAAATGGATAAATTTCTAGAAACATACAACCTATGTTTAAATCAGATTCAGACATTGAATCAAGAAGAAATAGAAAACATGAACAGACCAATAACAAGTAATGAGATTGGATCAGTAATAAAAAGTCTTCCAAAAAAGGAAAGTCCAGAACCAGATGGATTCACAGCCAAAATATGCCCAATATATAAAGATGAACTAACACCCATTCTCCTCAAACTATTCCAGAAAATTGAAGAGGGGGGAACTCTCCCTAACTCATTCTTTGAGAGCATTATAACCCTGATACCAAAACCAGACAAGGACAAACAAACAAACAAAAAGGCGGCGGAGTTTGGGGTGCAGAGCGTGGGGAGCCGGGGATCTGGTGCCAATAAGGGGGGAGCAGCCTTTGGGAGTGACAGTGCCGACAAGAAGGCTCAAGGTCCCAAAGGTGGTGGCAATGCAGTAAAGGTCAGACACATTCTATGTGAAAAACACAGCAAAATCATGGAAGCCATGGAAAAGTTAAAGTCTGGGATGAGATTCAATGAAGTGGCTGCACAATATAGTGAAGATAAAGCCAGGCAAGGGGGCGACTTGGGTTGGATGACCAGAGGGTCCATGGTGGGACCATTTCAAGAAGCAGCATTTGCCTTGCCTGTAAGTGGGATGGATAAGCCTGTGTTTACAGACCCACCAGTTAAGACAAAATTTGGATATCATATTATTATGGTTGAAGGAAGAAAATAAAATCTTACAAAAGACTAAATAAATATTACACATTTTGTTTCTTTAAAAAAAAAAAAAAAACTACAGGCCAATATCCCTGATAAACATAAGTACAAAATACTCAACAAAATTCTAGCAAATCCAATCCAACAGCACATCAAGAAGATAATACACCATGACCAAATGGGATTTATACCAGAGTTGCAAGGATGGTTCAACATGTAAGACTGGTTCCCTAGCCAGGCGCTCGGACACATCCATCCCTCTTCCCACCTGAAAATTACATCACCAGAATATGCCCATCATCTAGCTCCACCTTGGCAATCCCCTCTGCACTCAGCACTCAACCCCGCCCTTAGAAATCCCCTCTGCACTCGGCACCTAGCCTGCCCTTGGAAAGCCCTGCCAAAACCTGCCCAATAGCACGTTGCCCATCCGGAAATCCCGCCTACCTACCTACAGCAGCTTGCCACATCCACGTCCTGTTTCTTCACAGCCAATCAAACACCTTCACTACCTATAAAACCCCACGCCCAGAGGAGTCAGGCATGATTTGTCTGGCCTCTTTCCCTGGGATCGCAGAACCTCACCCGGGAGCCGAATAAATTGTCATTTAATCTTTTTGTGCTGGCCTCAGTTTCCTCATTTTTAACTAGGCAGTAAACCTCACAAGACAATAAACCCTTACACAACATATGCAAATTAATACATGAAATATGTCATATCAACAGAATAAAGGACAAAGACCACATTATCTTCTCAACAGATAGAGAAAAAACTTTTGATACAATTTAATATTCCTTTATGACAAAAACTCTCAACAAACTAGGAAAGGAAGTAACATACCTCAAAATAATAAAGATCATGTATGACAAACCCATAGCTAACATCATGCTGAATGCTTATGGATCAGAAGAATTATTATAATTAAAGTGAACATACTGCCCAAAGCAATCTAAAGATTTGATGTAATCCCTATCAAAATGCCAATGTTATTTTTCACAGAATTAGAAAAACAGCCCTAAAATTTTAAAATCCAGAAAAGAGCCCAAATAATCAAGGCAATCCTGAACAAAAAGAACAAAGCTGGAGATATTACACTACCTGACTTCAAAATATATTACAAGGCTACAGTAACCAAAACAGCATTGATATAAAAACAGACACATAAACCAATGGAACAGAATAGACAGTCCAGAAATAAATCCACACATTCACAGCCAACTGATTTTCAATAAAAGCTTCAAGAACATACACTGGGGGAAAGATATCCTCTTCAATAAATGTTGCTGGGAAAATTGGATATCTGTATGCAGAAGAATGAAGCTGGACCCCTTTCTCTCCCATACACAAAAATCTACTAGAGATGGATTAAAACTGTAAACATAAGATCCAAAACTATAAAACTGATAGAAAAAAAACATAGAGAAAATATTTTAAGACATGAGTCTAGGCAAAGATTTTACGGCTAAGACCTCAAAAGCACAGAAACTATGACAAATATAGACAAATGGGACTACATTAAACTAAAGAGCTCTGCACAGCAAAGGAAACAATCAACAGAATGAAGAGACAACTTACTGAATGGGAGAAAATATTGGCAAACTATTCATCTGACAAGGGACTAATAGCCAGAATATACAGGGATGTCAAACAATTCAGCAATAATAAAAAACAATCCCATTAAAAAGTGGGGAAGACATGAATACATATTTCTCAAAGGAAGATACACAGGCAGGGCATGGGGGCTCACATCTGTAATACTAGCATTTTGGGACGCCAAGGCAGGAGGATCACTTGAGGTCAGGAGTTTGAGACCAGTTTGGGGAATATAGCAAGACCCCTGTCCCACAAAAATAAATAAAAGTTAGCCAGGCATGGTGGTGTACACCTGTAGCCCCAGCTACTTGGGAGGCTGAGACAGAAGGATCACTTGAACCCAGGAGTTCAAGGTTACAATGAGCTATGATCTTGCCACTGCACTCCAGCCTGGGTTACAGAAATATACTCTGTCTCAAAATAACAAAATTAAATTAAAACATAAAAAGACATACAAATGGCCAGCAGGTATATGAAAAAAAAATTCTCAGCATCACTAAGCATCGAGGAAATGCAAATCAAAGCCACAATGAAGTATCATCTTACCCCAGTGAGAATGGCTATTAATACAATTACAAGAAAATAACAGAGGCTAGTGAGGATGTGGAGAAAAGGGAAATCTTACATACTGTTAGTGGGAATGTAAATTAGTACAACCACTATGGAAAACATTATCAGAATTTCTGAAAAATCTGAAAATAGAAGTGTCCTATGATCTGGCAATATCACTACTGGATATTTGTCCAAAGGAAAAGTCTGTATATCGAAGAGATACCTGTGCTCGCACGTTTATGGCAGCACTATTCACAATAGCAAAGAGAGAATCAACCTGTGTCATCAATAGATGAAGAGATATAGAAAATGTGATGTACATGTATGCATATATATAATACGCACACACACATATACAAGTTGAATGTGATTTGGTCATAAGAAAGAATGAAATCATGTCATTTGCAGCAACGTGGAAGGAACTAGAGGTCATTACATTAAATGAAATAACCCAGGCACAGAAAGACGGATTCCTCATGTTCTCACTAACATATGGAAGCTTAAAAAAAATTGATCTCCTGGAGATAAGAATAGAATGATAGATAACTAAGGCTAAGAAGAGTGTGTGGATAGGAGGGAGGATAAATGGAGGTTTGATAACTGGTACAAACATATAGTTAGATAGAACAAATAAGCCCCAGTGTTCTCTTGCACAGTAGAATGCCTATAGTTGGCAACAATGCATTGTACATTTCAAAGTAGCGAAAAGAGAGGATTTGAAACATTACCAATACATAGAAATGATAAACACTCAAAGTGATGGATACACCAAATACCCTGACTTGATCATTACACATTCTATGCATGTAAAAAATACATGTGCACCAAAAATATGTAAAATATTTTGTATGAATAAAAATAAAATAAAAACTTTTGAAAAGCAAAATTATGGCTAACTAAGAGGAATAAGCACCAGTATTTGATAGCAGGGGTCCCCAAACCCCGGGCCACGGACTGGTGGTATATGGCCTGTTAGGAACCAGGCCACACAGCAGGAGGTGAGCAGCAGGCTAGCAAGCATTACTGCCTAAGCTCAGCCTCCTGTCAGATCAGCGGGGTCATGAGATTCTCATAGGAGTGCGAACCCTATAATGAACTGTTCGTGCAAGGGATCCAGGTTGCATGTTCCTTATGAGAATCCCACTGATGATCTAAGGTGGAACAGTTCCATCCCAAAACCATTCGCCCTCCCCCACCCATTTTTGTCTTCCACCAAACTAGTCCCTGGTGCCCACAAGGTTGGAGACCACTGTTCTATACCACTGTAGGAAGACTATGGTTAACAATAACACATTACATAGTTTCAAATAGCTAGGAGAATGTTGAATGTTCCCAACATAAAAAAAATGACAAATGTTTGAGATGATGGATATGCTAATATCCCTGATCTGATCACTATACATTATATGTGTCAAAACATCACTTATGTGGCTCACGCCTGTAATCCCAGCACTTTGGGAGGCTGAGGCAGGCAGATCACTTGAGGTCAGGAGTTCAAGACCAGCCTGGGCAACATTGTGAAACCCTGTCTCTGCTGAAAATGCAAAAATTAGCCAGGTGTGGTGGTGTGTGCCTGTAGTCTCAGCCACTTGGGAGAATGAGGCAGGAGAATCGCTTGAACCTGGGAGGCAGATGTTGCAGTGAGCTGAGATAGCACCACTGCACTCCAGTCTGGGTGACAGAGGGAGACTCTGTCTCAAAAACAAACAAAAAACAAACAGAAAAGAATGATGGTCTCCAACTCCATCCAGGTTGCTGCTAATGCCATTATTTTGTTTCTTTTTATGACTAAGTAGTATTCCATGGGGTGTGTGTGTGTGTGTGTGTGTAGCATTTTCTTTATCCACTCATTGCTTGATGAGCATTTAGACTGGTTCCATATTTTTGCAGTTGTGAATTCTGCTAATATAAACGTGTGTGCAAGTGTCGTTTTCATATAATGACTTCTTTTCCTCTGGAGAGACACCTAGGAGTGGGATTGCTGTATCAAATGGTAGATCTACTTTTCATTCTTTAAGGAATCTCCATACTGATTTCCATAGTGGTTGTACTAGTTTACATTCCCACGAGCAATGTAAAAGTGTTCCCTTTTCACCACATCCATGCCAACATCTGTTTGTTTGTTTGTTTGTTTGTTGGTGCTTGGGAATGTCTGCAGAGAGTCCTGTGATGTGATCTGTCTTCAGGTCTCTCAGCTGCAGATACCAGAGCCTTTTCTGGTGTAAGTGGCAAGGGAGTGAAGTGGACTCTGTGAGAGTCCTTGGCTGTAGATATGTTTAGTGTGCTGGCTTTTTCAAATGCTGTTTATGATAGCAGAGAGGTTGTCACGTGGACAAACTCAGGGTCTCTGGTAAGCCAGGATACTGCAGGCAGTGGAAGTAGCTTTTGTTTTCTCCTTCCTTGGAGCAGGGTTTTTCTGTCATGAGTTGCTGTAATGTTCTGAGCTGGCTGGCCTCCAAGCCAGGAGGTGGCGCTTTCAAGAGAGCACCAGAGCTTTTCACCTGTCTCGTGGAATTTGTATCAGCAACTACTTTCAAAGGATCCGTGAATTCTTTTGGTTTTCCTGGTACATTTCTGTAATAGTTCTTGTAGCAAAAGTCCATGGTGTGAGAGTCTCCACATGCTGTTCTGTCCATCCAAGTGGTAGCTGCACTTTAGCCCTGTCTCCTATCCACTATCTTCCCTCCAATCTGTCTATTATCCCCATTTTATAGATAAGGAAACTAAAGCTCAGAGTTAAAGTTTCCCAACGTCACTCACCTTGTAAGTAAAGAAGCTAAGACTTTTAACCCAGGCAATCTTGCTGCAGGGATTAAACTCTTAACTATTATAAAGTTGAAAACTTAGTTGAAGTGAATAAATTGCTAATAAAATATAATTTATAAA